TTTTTTTTTTGATTCTGTTCATCTCTCAGGAGAGTTTCGAATGGCTGTCCATAAATTAATGTTATAAATATGAAATGAGATCGATGGACAGCAACGAATGGACAATGACCAATATGATCGCATGTTTTTCTGTCTGCCTACATTAACACTCATTCGTCGTTGTCGATAATCAAACTAGTTCAAAGCATGCGCAAATGCATGTGGAAAAGTAAAATTCAGTTAGCTTTCTCTCTTTTTTTATTTATGGAAATCGCATCATCATATGGATCATTCTTCTTCTTTTTCTTTTTTTTAGACATATAAAAAGAGTCAAATAGGCTTGATTAAAGGAAAAAGATCCATCTATTGCTGTAGGGGGTGACAATAATATCAAGGCACACTAACATTTCGTCTATCTTTTTTTTTCTATAGAAAGTTAATTATGATCATGCAAATGCGATGCATTGTACCGACTGTTCAACAATTTTCTCATTATTAAAAGAAAGAATAGTGTTCACAAAATAAGATATGTTAATTCATTATGTGTTTGGTATACTATAAGCAAAAAAAAAAGGGAAAAGAAAACAATTAGGTATTATCATTCTTAGATTATCCCATACACAACAAATATTATTATTGATGTTTTGTTTTGTTTTGTTTTTTGTACAATACTTTTTTAAAAAGTGAACAGAAAAAAAAATTGCATTTAGATAATTAAAGCCACACACACACACACACACACACACACACGCACGCACAAAAAGTCATATGCACGCAAATACGACAAATGAGAGAAAATAAATATATAGAGATGAAGAAAACAAACTTGAATAGATATAAGATATGTTTTATTTATTAGTTGGAGTTGGTCCATAAGGTGTAACTGCATTTGATGAACTAAGTGCTGATGATGCTGAACTCAATGTACCAAATGGACCAATACTACTAAATGCTGATGACATAAGATTAGTCATTCCTAAATAAAAACAAAATAGAAAATAATAATATTATTATTTTAAAAAATATAATTAATAAATAAATTTTTAAAAAAAACAAAAAAAAGAAATTTATGAGTACATTGATGAACGTGTTGATGATGATGATGAATTGGAATTTGTTAATAGATTATTCCAATTTTGATGTATAGGACTTATTGATGATGATAATTTGAATGCACTTTCATGTTGTTGATGACATACAAATGATAAACCATTTTGATGATTAACTACATACACACATAGACAAACAAACCATATATCAAACAACACAAACATGCATAAACAAAAGAAGAAAAAAAAGAAAAGAAAACTAACCGTTTAGAAAACCAGGTGATGGTACACCATATGAAGATGCTGATGATCCATAAGCATTGCTATAAGCACTATAACTTCGTGGTGACATAGGTGCTGTTTGATTTCGTGAATAACCTATGATAAACAAGAAAAAACTAAAAGTAAAATATTAATCAATAAAAAAACAAAGTCAATATTAATTGAATTATCTTTAGAGTAATTCTCGTAAAATAATGGACAAAACGCTCATGCATAAATTCTTTCAATGAAATTGTTCGCGCACGTAAAAAAAAACTATATCACATGACAAGCAATAGCATATTCCCTCACGTCACTTTTCTTATACCTTCTAATGATGACATATAATATGCTGCAAAAAAATTGATAAGATTATTAAAAAAAAAAAGAAAAAAGGAAATTTCGTAATTAAATTCAAAAATCTTACTCGAATCATTTTCATGATCACTTGGTGGTGTTGGTAAAGCAAAATGATGTGGATTGCCTGACATTGTATAACATTGTTCAAGTAAATCAGCTGTTCGTTTAAGAATTATTTCCTTAATTTAAAAGATAAATTTTATATATATATATATATACAATTAAATTCTCATTCTAAAATTTTACTTTTGGTAATCGATCTGGATCATCGGCATGTTTTGGTATTAATTTTGATAAACGTTGTAATGAATAATCAATAGTTGGATCTTGCATAGCTATGAAATAAAAAATAATTTTATATTAAATAATTCAAGAAATTCAAGAATCATTTATTATTTACTTATATATGTAAAACGACCAGGACAATCTCGACAAAATTGTTTTCCTTTGTATGAAAGTGTAACATCAACAACACCCGGACTATGACGTGATGGTGTATGTACACGAATAGCTCCTGGTGTTAAAATCTATTTGAAATAAATAAATAAATTTATTATTTTTTTTCTAAATTTCAAAAAAAACAACAACATACTTCACTGTAAACAATCATTGTATTAAACATAACTTGAAGACCATCAAAAAAATTTTCTCCAAGTATAAGTACAGCTTGTCCACCAACAATCCATCCTTCATTTGGTTGAATATGTTTTATAACTGGTGTAGGAATAAGTGATTCTATTAAAAAATGAACGAAAAAAAAAACAAAAAAATAAAGAGATTTTAGAAAATTCAAAAATTCTTTTTCAAATTATGACAAGGGTTCAGTAAACTGACCCAGATCGGAATCTGAGACGGACGCACCTCCGTCAATAGGATCAAGTCGTCTTGTTCGTCTTCCATGTTTTGAATTATTATGAACAAACATATTTTCTGATACAGCCAATAATGGTGGTTCAAGACCAATTGTTGTTGATAAAACAACCTGATTAAAATTACAAAAAAAAAATTTCGTTCTTGTTGTTGTTGATGTTTTATTCTAATTATCATACTTGAAATCGTCGCATATCACGTGGATTACCAGCATTTTTTAAACAATTTTGATTACATTTGAGAAAAAATTTAAGGAAAAACCTAGATCAAAAAAAAAAACATCGGTGTCACACAAGAGAAATCAACTCCTTCGTAACAATAACAAAAAGAAATTAATTTTCATGGGCACATACTCAAGGGACAAACTGCCGTTTATTGTCATTTGCAATTAGAAACAAGAGAAATATATACCATACGTTTTTATTATTGTTTTTATACAAACATACACTTAATTATAGAAATAATCAAGAGAAAGTTATGTTATCTTTTATGTTAGGTCTCCTCCTTTTATTCTAAATATTTATATTTAATGATAAGAAAGTAATCAATATCAACTCTTGTCTATTTACCGTTCAACAACAACTGGATCTGATGGTGTTTCATTACGATTACCACATGATTTTTTGTCACAACAACGACTACACATAACTTCATGTGTTAATAAAACACGACACATTTCAGGATTTTTATCTTGACCTTCATAAATAATTGGCTAAAATTTAATTAAAGAAAAGAAAATCAATAATTAATTTTAATAAGCATTTAAAAAACAAAAAAAGAACTACATACTTGTTTTGTTGCAGAATCAATCATACGAACATAAATATCTTGTTCATGTCGATAATTAACTAACAAAGAAAAAATTATTTTATTATATAAAATTTCTTTCTTTTTTTTTTTTTGATTTTATTTTCGTACTTGCTGGATAATAAAGACTCAGACGATAATGAATACCATTATTTGTACGTAAACCATCAGGTTCCTAAAATAATAACAACATATGTATGCAAAGTCAGCCTATCATCAATAAGTTAAAAAAAAAAAAGAGTGAACATATTGACATAGAGAGTGATCGCGTGATTACAATCTCTATCTGTTTTATGTGAAATGATAATCATAATCATTCTTTTTTAAGTTAAAATTTAATGATTCTTTTTTTTTTTTCCTTACCATTTCCTTTTCAACAAAACCAACAAAAGCTGTACGTTCAATTTCAATTGGTTTACCACTTCGATCATAAAGTGCTACTGTAAAATGAAAAAAATTACTTTTACGTAAATTATTTGGTGGTTGTTTTTCAAAATGTGCTGAAGCCACACCAATACTTGGATAAAGATAACTATAGAAAAATAAAAATCATATTTTTTTTTTTTCGTAAATAAATCGAGAAAAATAAATTTAACCATACCAACTGGGATCAACAAGCATTGCTGGCCATGAAGCTCTTAATGGTTCTTCTTTGAGACCTCCAAAACTTGATGGTGCCCCACGAGGCTGCATAAATGGATCTGTGAACAAACAGAAAAAAAAAATAGGACTATCTCAAGAGAATCTTAGATTTCTCGTCAATAGTTAAGATAGTTTGACTAGACACAAGATTCACAGGTAAAATGTCTCTTGAGAGAGACATGTAGATATACGTTCTCCATTGTCTATTTTTTCTTTTAGTTTTTGTTATTCTATTGAGATAAATTACATACCGTATGGATTCGATGGTTGAGAACAAAAATCGATTCCAGTTGAAGCACCAATTCGTCTTTGACGGTTATTTATGTCACGACGCGCCGCCACCGTAAAAAAAAAATGTTTTTCTATATAATTATATGTGATAATATCCAATAAAATTAATTTCAATCTAAAATTTAAACCAATAGGGACATATATATATTTATATATTTGGCTCGAGGGAACTTAACTTTTTATTTATTTGAAAATGAAACTTGTCAAGAATTTTTAATATAGTAAGGGATATTTTGTTTTAGAATTTACTAATGTGACATGTATTGTCATTTGCTGCTCTTTTTCTCTATTCTTTTTTATTTCCTACCGAGAGATTATGGGTACCAATGGGGATCTCTAAGTCGTGAGTTTCTATATGAGTTCTCCTATGAGACCTCGTGCACTAGACCAAAAGGAGAAAAAAAAAGACGCGAGAATTTGTAAAATGAAACGATTAATCTGTTTTTCTTCGAAGAGAGAAAAAGAGAAAGAGAGAGAGAGAGAGAGCGAGCGTGAAAAGGTCAAAATGATGAAGAAAAAATCTTCTTCTCTTGTCGTTGTCGTTTTTTTTTCTGTTTATTCTTCTAGCCAGAAACAAATTGCCTTTTTTCCTCTATTTCTTTTCTTTTTCTATTTCTATATCTTTTTGCGCTAGACTAAGAACCAATGAGAAAAAAAAACGATGGAATATGAGCCAATCCTCGATTAGTGACAAGAAAAATGATCATGATCAACATCTTCTTTAGTACGAACTCATTTTTCATCAATAATGCTCGCAAAAGCTAACTTTTTGCTCGTTTCATCATCTTTTGTATTTGATGATATAAGGAGAGAATGAGAGAATACGATGTGTGATCGTTGTTCCACTCAATCAGACGCCATTTCATTCCGTCTTTCGCTCTCCTTTTTTTTTTGGTATATCTTTGGAGAAATCAACGAGACTAGGGAATTCTTTTTTCCTATCTTTCAACGACAAGAAGAAGAAGAAGAAACAAAAAAAAAGAGAAATGAGGAGGAGACTAAAAATCGACAAAAGACATTAATATATGGCTATATGTGTAAAAGAACAAATCGACAAATATGATGAAAGAGAGGGTGTCGGATAAGTTTCCAGTGCTTATCAGAAAGAAAAAGTCATCTTCGTCGAATGATTATCATTCATGACATAGATACTATATGGAAAATGATCATTTTTACGACTCCTTAGAGTCATATATACAGAAGAGAGTTCGATTAATGTTCACATTTTCTATCGCATATGCGCTAGTTCTTATCTTTCATAGAAAAGGACAAGTGAATCGATGATATTAATGATAATTGTCTTTTTTTTTTTCTTTTTTTCCTTTAACAAAAGTAACAAACAAACTATTGAACAGGAGGTGTAGTGGTTAATATGGGAAAAAGAGAGAAAAAGAACCTAAAATGACACTTTTCCATTTCATTGGACTTTTGTTTATTTCGTCTAGGTTCATTCACATCAGAAGATGAGTAAAACTTGTTAAAGATTAGATGCGCCTGATCAGAATCACCTTTTCTTTTCTTTCTTTTTTTTTTTTGGAGAGTGTTTATTAGATCAAGCTTAGTTTAAATTTTAAATTTATGCAATAACAGACGTAAGCAGATATGACAAGTGCATATGCTAAAGATTTCAATCAAACATACACATTGCATCATATTTCATAAATTTGATCATATCAAAATTTCTTTTTCTGGTTACAGTCAATCAAGCAGATGTATTTATTTTATCATTGAAAGAAAAAGAAAATCTTCTTTTTCGATTGTTTTTTTCTTTGTTTTGATAAAATTTCTTCGAAAAAAATAATTTTTTTTGTTTTTTTGAAAGTTAAAATTCAAAAGAACAATTCAACTGATTGTTTTCAAGTGATGTTCATTGATTTGTTTATGTTTGATGCTGATGGGTACTCAATGTTATTCATATACATCCTATATAATATTTAAGCTATCTGATTACATTAGTCACAGTATGAAACATTATGTTTGTATCGTATATTTTAAAGTTAATTTAAGAACAACACAAAAACAACGTTTCTTAAATCATGACGCACTTGTGATCTTCAAAAGAAGATAGATACCCCCTGTTTTCTTTAACTACCTGCTTGAAACAAACATTGTTGTCGTCAATGAGAGAATTAACCAATATGCCGCTGTTAATATCTATCTTCGATTGAATAAATGAAGCACTTTTATACAATGTTAGACAGTGATAGTTTCTATTTTATCAGCATGACGAGTTAATGATGATTAGATTCTATAGTTTATTTCTTTTTATCTTGTTGTTTCGATTTTGGTTTGAAGAAGAAAAAAAAAAACGATTCATATTCATATGTTCTTTTTATTTGTGCGGTGACTTATCATATCATTGATATGAATAATTCTATGCATAACAGTTAACAAATTGTATTTTGTCTTTTATTTAAATATTCATATTACTTTGCATATTATTGTTGATTGTGTGATAGTGAAAGAATTTCATTACTCAAGACAATTGAATATATGTTCTCCGAAGACTTAAGAACGTGAATAGGCTATACAATCAAAAAGTCGAATACTACTATTCCGCTTGTCGATTCATCTGATTGTTCATTAATGAAATTCATATATAAAAACTAAAATAGAATAGAATAGAATATGCGTGCTTGCTCATCATTGATTCTATAATAATTGAAATGATGCACTTCAATTTGTTTCGTCACTTACTTGACATTTTTTATGTTGATGTCTATGATCGATACAACAAATTGTATTTCAAGTATTACGTGACTTGGAAACTTTTTTTTCTCTTCTATATCTCATTTTGTTATACCCTATTTTGGTCAAGATGATCTGTGTCGATCATCATTCTTTTTCATACATTTTTTTCTTCTACTATATTCTTGAGACTAGTTTTTTCTTGTTCTTCTTCTATGTCACATAATTTCATTACGTTTTTTTTTTTTTTTATTATTTTCTTCTTGCTTCTCATATGTGTATGTGCGTGTAATGATTACAAATGACGACAACGTACATTAGTTGTTACCTTCACTATCGGTGTTGTTAGAAAAAAAAACATTTAAGTGGCCCTGGAGAATGACAATAATACAATGAAGTTTTGATCATTCATTTGTTTTGACGAGATTGCCATTGGCAGTAAAAAATGCAAGACGTT